GATAAAAGACAGGTCTGGGCCTACTTGTAATAAAATGCAGAGTAGGGTTGAGATGAGCAAAATAGAGATACAGGAGATATATGTGATGAAGCAGGCAAATTACAAGTCGGACAGAGAGAAAACTATACACAAACCACTCATAGTAGCTTAAGCAGATACATCTCATGTGATTAAAGGCACAAGGAGCTTTTCTCCAACAAGCTTCCAAGTCCATGTGGAGCTGTCAGACCATAACGGATTCTCCTGCAGATCAGGAGCACAGTTACAGATTATCTTCTGAGCTACATGGTGGCTCATTATTATCTGTCATTACCTGTTAAAAGAAAACCAGGCAAATGAGCAATGTAATAAAAATGTACCCAGCATTAGAAACACAATATCACGCATTTAAATTAAAGTATAGATATGTTTCAGTTGTGAAACTCAGAATTGTTACACCCTTGGTCACATATCACGGGGTGGTTGTCATAGTGAAAAGGGCCTTTTCCTGCTTGTTGGAGTCAACCCAATTTGAAACTTCTGACTGTGTTGTTATCATAGATATCTTTTTATTGTAACAAACTTCTTTCAGAGGCACCATGCAAAACTTACTTAATTTATTTATTTATTTTTTAAATTAACATTTGTGAGCAAAACACAAACAGACTGAACCAAATAGCTGTTATCAACCATGCTTGGCTGCTATGAAAACATACTACGCACACGACATAAAACTCTGTTAAAAAACTAAAATAATGGTGTAATTAAAAAAAAAAAAATCAATAAATAAATAAAAATGGACATTTACACCCAAGTACACAATTCAACGGTGCAGCCACCATAGTTTAGCGACATCAAGGTTAAATCACAGTTAACAAAGCAACAAAACAGACCAATGTGTGTCCAATCTGGTCACAGGGAGCATTTATATCTGCAGAACATGGCATCTGATCTCATGTTAAACTGATAGCTCATGCTGCAGTATACACACAATAAAGGCTAAAACTGTACACCTGCTTTTAAAGGTAGTCCAGCTGTATAATAATAACACATTAAGCCACAATCTCACAGAACAGAAATCGTGTTGTTTTAAAATCCACTGATAGGGAAAACAGTTGATGTATTAGTATACGGATAGATTTGCATTGTAACATTACCTCTCACACTTTTGTAAATGTCATATTGAACATGTAGCACTTGATCATTAGAGAGATCAAATCAAACAGCCAGATTTCCACATGGAACTTTATGTAACATCTTCTCCCATACAGTGACGTAAAAGAGACGTCAGTCTGCTTTAACAAGCACCGCTGCAGCTCATGGTCATGAGAAACTGAGATGTACTCAGCATTCAAGAGCTCGTCTCAGCCTGGTTTAAATCTCACACCCTCTAAACCATCTACCTTTTTTAACAGTTTACCTCAGAGTGTGGTGAAGGGTGCAGGGCAGTTTCAGCATGTAGCTGCAAGGTGTTTACACATCAAGAGCTATCTGCATTAAGCAGGTTAGACCAAGGGTACAGTGAACATGCAGAATCCTGGCATTTGTGTGAATCCTTTGACATTCTCCGTACTGTTATGGGCATTTGAAGTTATTTTTGATACATTATTACATGAGCAGCTTAATGACTCAACTCTTCTTTTACCTTCTGGCAGGAGAACCTAACAGGGCAGGACAGAGATACTTGGAGAGGTGCATCACTAAGGCATCATCAAGTTTCTTTTAAGGAGGCAATGTGAATCAAGCAAGTACATTGTTATGGGTCATTTTGCAACTCAACTCAGGTACACAGTCGTTTATCTGTGACTTCACACTGACCAATAATTCACCATATACATCTCAAAGTCAGTATGAATGTGAAAATTGAAGCCTACTTCCTCCACAGCAAGTGGTAGGTGTTGATATTTTACCACAAAGTTGTCTCACCTATTCTCACCAAAGACATTCATACAGCTCTAGCACCAATTTATTTGCTCGGGCATCCTGCCCTGAGAGAAAAGACCAAAAATGACAAAGAGAAATGGACCTGAACCTGGGACATTACATTTCATGGTTGATGTCCTAACCCTGAAGCACAGAGGCGCTCGACCTGAACCAACTTCTGAGCTTCAGTATTAAAGTACATCAACCGATGAGAGTTTAGATTCTGTTGAAATTAACCAACCCTCTCAACACTCTATTATTTTTACATATTCATTTCAATAAGCTATCTGAAGCTTATTGTTGATCAAAGAAGCATCATGCTGTAGCTTCTACTGAGGAGCCCTGACTATAAAACCCACTGGCCTTTAACACAGTAAAAGGGTGCTATCTAGTGGTAGAAAGAGGGCAGACTATGTCCAGCTGCATATTGACATCACTGCAGTCGTCACCATAGGACTGAACACTGCAGTCCTGGTTATGCTGTTGCATTTAGATATTGTGATTCATAGTAAGTATCCTGTACACAATGTGGATGGAAACAGGAGATGAGATACATACATAACATGGATACTAAAGCAGTCACACACAGGTGATATCTAGGACTTAATCATTAAGTTTAACACTCCTGAACGTATTCGTTTTATGTAGCATGCAGCTCTACATACTTTTTAAAGCATATATTCAAGTACAGAGATGCAATTAAACTGTAAGTGGTGGCACAGAATAGATGTGCCAGCTTTGCAAAACATTTGCATTTGGCAGACATAAAGAAATATGTATTAGTCAGTACATAATTATATATCTGCACAATTAACCAATCTTTTAATTTAAAGTATACTGGAAATATACTGTTCATGAATGTCTTGAAAATCTGTTTTTTATTCTACCTGCACTGTAATTGTATAGTCTCTTTTTCACCACAAGATGGCTCTACGTACACGCAGCAAAGCATTTTTAGGGTTTGTAATGGTATCTACTACAGAAGTACCCTGTTTATTTCTTGACATTTAGCCTGATGTTAATAGTAGTTGCTTTACAAACATCAGGAATGCGTGTGTGCACAACTGTGTGTGTGTGTGTGTTAATGTGTGGTACTGTGTCTGTTTATACATGCACATGAAGAATATGTCCGAGAACTAAAGGTGCAAAACTGCTGCACGGCTAATGAGGGAAATGATGAATCCAATGATGCTCACAGTGTTGTCAGAGGGTAAAAGATAAATCAATTAGGGACACCGTGGTGGATTGCAATCTGTCTCCAGAGAGCTTTCAGTAAGAGTCAGGAGGAGTGGCGCTTTGGGGCTCTCTCATGCAGATGCTGCACCTGTGACCCCAAGGGGAATCAGCAGGTATGCAGCTCGCCCGTCTTACTAAAGCTCCTGAGGCTGATGCTTGAGCAGTTAAACACACCTGCTACAAAGGTGTGTGTCTACGCACAGCGTGTGATCTTTTTTGTGTATGTGGCAAAAAAAAAAAAGGCTGCTGAAGAAATTAATTAACAGACATGCTTCCCAAATCCTTTTCCCAAATGTATACTTAGAGGAGGAGGTGTAAAATATCTGCTGTCGCGTGCAGGGCCATGTGATGAGCCACTGACATAGTCATAAGTGAGATGAAGCGGTTTCTGAGTTGTCTGGCAACAACGGGTTTATAAACTCTGAATGTAAAAACAGTACCACCCATGTGTGGTTGACCATCTCTACAAAGCAAGTCGTGTCATGTTAGTCATTTACACTGATTCTGACACCACAGGGAAAGTAGCTGTTACCACCAGGTTAAAAAGGTTTCGAACGTATTCTCACCCCTAAGTTGTTCCACCGTTCAGAATGAAAAGGAAGGAATTAGAAGTACAGTCATTGAGAAACTTTTCCATCGACTTGTTCTCTTTTAGGTGCATTCTAAACCCAGTTATTATACTTTCACTGTATTACATGCATAGATTTATTATTTTTTAAAGCATTCTACTCAGGTTTGCTAAAGTTGCTGAGGGAGCTACAGTTATGGATCATTTTGGAGGTTATTAAATACAAGTTTGACTGATCCTCTTTTCCATCTGAACAAATCCTCTGAAAAATCTTTGAAGGATTTTTACTACTTTGGCAGGTATCAGTGTATTGTGAAGGTGGAGGTTTGTGTTCAATTGTCACTCAGTTAGAAGAGCTACTTTATAGTTCTCTTTTTGTAGCAAGCTCAATAAATGAAATGATCACACACACACAAAATTCAAATCATAGTATACCTCTTGTTTGAGTTGGCTATTCTGGTACTCTTTCCACCCCTGCCGCTGCCTACGACACATTTGCTGTTGTGTTTTGCAGTGTTGCCTTAGTTGCCTGGAAAAGATGCAGGACCTCTTTGTGGGGGGTGTGATTGTGAGGAACAGCATTCAGGCCCATTGAAATGGGAAAGGAGGGGATTACTCCTGTATTGGCACTGGGCCGGACTGTTGCCATGGCACATCCATTGTCCCCCAGCACATGGGCATGGCAGAGAAACCTCCAGTGAAAATGTTCATGTTCTGGATGGCTGATGAGGTGTTATGTTTGACGTGTGGACCTACTGAGGCATTCAGCTGGAGCAGGAGGTCACTTATCATGCACACAAAAAAACAGACAGATAAAATCAGTGCAGGCAGTCAATAAAAAAAAGGTAACACAGAGTCACTTTCTCAATGGGATTTGCATGTGTCTTGATTCGCCTCGTGCAGTCATTTGAGCAAATTGCCACAACCTGGCAGAGATGCAGCATTTTTCTGTATTTCCTAGGCTGTGTTTCAAACTCCCGGTAAGTCTCAGCTCCCAAGTAGTATGACTCATGAGAGGAAGGTAATCACAGGCAATGATGTGGACCGCTGCAGGGCAAGCCCCGTTGTGGAGGAATACCCTTGAGAAAGTCCACGCCGTCTGCAAACGACTGCTCATATAGGTCTTGGGATCGCCCTGGCTTCGCAGCGAATCGCAGACGCCGTTTTATAACGCGTAAGCAGCGGCGTCCAATCAGCGTTCAGCTTACAATCGCTACCACAACGCTATTGGTCGAGCGTAGACAAGGGCGTTTTTTCTTCGCTCGCTCCAACAGCACCATCTCTGGCAGGTGGTGAGCGCTTTAAAAGCATACAGTAGGCTAATGTTTAGGACGATAGGTAGGTAGTTGTAGGGATATAAACACACTTCAGGTCGTAATTTTTTGTCGTTTTCGGTTGATAGTTTTGTGTTACGTGCCATTACGTTTGCTTTAAAGCCGCCGGAATCGCAGCGAGTGAGATGAACGTCGGGGTTCCCCTCTCTGAGCCAGACACTTTGTGCTTTACGGTCAGCGGTGAATTAGACAACTGCTCCTTCATCATGCAGCTTGAGAAAAAAGACGGAAAAGATCTACATGTTGATTATATTTCGCCACCGGTTTGAGTCTGAATGAGAGAGAAAAACCTCCCGGGCCACGACTGACAAGGTCTCACATCCTGGAAGCTGCCTCACTTGAGCCGCCGGTGGTCGCTTCACAATATGATATGTTGATGACATTTTTTGGAAGTGGTCGTGCCTTTTGTTTTCATATCGGGATATGTGATATGCGGATCTGTGAGCGCCACGAAACCCAAATGAGCGGACGTTTTTTCTGCTTTGAAAATGAGGAAGCGATTTCATAAAGACCCAGAAAATGGCAAGAAGGTCTCGTCGTCCGTGGGCCCGGATTTGAGTAAAATGAGAAGGAAAGGGGCAAATGCAACAGCAGCATGATTCTTCTTATTATTACTATTTTTCTTGCAGAATGACACCGAAGGAGGTGAAACGGTGGAGGTAGATGAGACGCAGCATCAATGAAGGCGATCTGGACAAGTTTTGAGTCGCTCATAATGAACAGAAATACTTTGCAGCTCGATATCAGATCGTTTCCACAATATTGAAAAGGTTTTTTTTCCGGCTTTGGGGAGATTTTTTCTAATTCACCTGTCATCTATTTTCGCATTGCATCTGTTATCTTTTTTTCCCCCCATTATATATTAGATTTTTTTATTTTATATTTTTGATCCGGATCCAGCCCTGAGTGTTCAATGGAAGTATGTTATCAGCTGCCGGTTTTGCCTCTAGACAGGCCGGTTCCCAAGCATGTCCTCAGCCGGAGGGGAGCCATTAGTTTCAGCTCCAGCTCTTCTCTCTTCGGGGCTCCTGATCCAAGACAGCTGTCACAGGTAAAACAATTTTTTTTTTTTTAAATTACTACACTCATCTTAATCTTTTATCATTTAGCCACAGTGGGTTTTGGCTCTGGGGATCACACAGGCCTCAAACCACCTTCTTTTCAACAAATACATGAATAATCCACAGGAATCTTGCAGGTGGTTGCTGGATATTTAGGCCTTAACACACAGTGAGCACTCATTTGCACACAACATATTCTTATCTGTTAGACCCAAAACACACACACACACACACACACACACACACACAGCAAGCTATCACACAACTTTACATTTGTGTATGTTGCCCACAGATAAAGGCCTTGTTGGCTTGCACTAGCCAGCACCAACAACGTGATGTTGGAAGTATAGCAGTTTACTCCTGGGATTCGTCAGAGGGAACGTGCCACAGTGTTATTTATGTGAACATCCTTTTGAAACACAAATCATTGAGTCATACTTGAACTTCCTGCTTTCTTGGAGTCTTGAACCCGTTGCCTCCGGTGAGCCTGCCTCTATTTATTTCACCTGCTCTGTGGTGAAAGAAAAGAAAAGGTGGGCCGCAACAACAGTCCTCATATTGTGAGGTCACATTCTGCTCGACTCTCAGGAAAAACTGGCACGGCGGTACGGTGCACCTCCAATGCATTAGCCAATCATTGATCCTTCACTGCGTTTTTGAGCACCGTGTTTCATCTATTAGGCCTTTTGTCTAGCGCACTAGTTTCACCCGCTATAACACGTGCCATATCAGCTCCTAGAAAAGTTGTACATAAAGTCAACAGTGAGTCAACCTCCTTCTCTACGGTGTTCCGCTTTTTTTTTTTTAAAATGGACAAACATCCTTACTATTGCTTCAGTATTTGTGGACAAAAGCAGCAGGATGTATTCTCATGTCTTTGGGTCACGGCCCGCGAGTTACTCATGAACAGAAACTCCCACTGTGTTGCACGGCATCTCTCAACCCATTAGCTAAGCATTAAGTCACTGTCTTTGAGTGTGTGAGAGTATTCTTCAATAGGCTGTCCATTAGTGCTTTGTACAGGACCCTGCTCCACATAACCACCCATGTGTGTCTGCTTTGATCCCCCCAGCCATCCTCACAGGCAGCCCCCACAAAGACCAACACATACCCTTGGCTACCACAGGTCCATCCTTAGTGGGCTTTTTCAACAGGGATGCTAGTGTTTGGTTTTTTTTTCGACTGATGAACTGAAATATTGGAAAAGTTGCCTGGACAGGACTTTTCTGACCATCCAGTTGTCTTTCTATTCCCTCCATACTTGCATTCCACTCCATCCTCACTCTTTATCTCAGTTACAAAGACTTTGAAACTGCCCTCGTACCTTGGTGGTTCTTGGACCTTGCGTCTCAGACCGCAGCCCAAAAAGACGGTTCCCCGGAGAAATCTCCAAAACACCACAAGAAAATTCATCTCGACATTATGCTGGATCGCTCATCTTATTTGCACTAGTGTAAAGCAGTGGTGTCTCATGGCCAGGTTCGTTTTCAATCAGACAGTACGCGGGATGCTGTTTTTGTGCTTCTCTGTTGTGAAAAAAGGGGCCGTTTGCAATTAACGTCACACTCTGTAGTGTTAAGCAAATTTCTAGTGAAACAGTGATTATCTGCGTGACGTTTTGTGGAGACATTGTTTAACCATACGGCGTTTACAAACACTATACATGGTGCAAAAATAACAAAGCAACAGACAGGAATTCAGTAATTAAACATAAAGACCTGCTGACATTGTCATTTGTCTTTTTATCCTCCTGAACATTGGCAGAACTGGGTGAGCATGCATGCACACACACAGCAGTGTCACTCAGCCTTTGTCACCGAGCAATTACACTTCTACAAATATTGTGTTTCGGGCCCTATTTATGACCATAAGGGTGCATTTGTCCTTGGTGGCTGCTGTGTTTTTGTGTGTGGTTCCACAGGCCTGTTGTTTGTGGAAGCAGGGCTGGACTACCATTGCAGAAAGAGGCAGTTAGGCATGTGCCTGGGCTCTGTGGGCAGTGGTTTGGCCCTCTGCCAGACTCACAGATGGCCAGAGTCTCAGTCTCTTTTCTTTCTCTGGCTATCTTGTTCCACTCACTCACAGACTCCCTCTCTTTCTTTCTCTTTCTCGTCAACCTCCCCTCCCCTTGCCCCTTGCAGATCAAGACATTTCCTCTTGTAAACAGAGGACGAAAGTGTAGGGTTGAAGACACGACTGAGTCTCAGAAGAATATGTCACTCTGTGGTTGTGGAATGCTTATGATTGGGTGTAAATATGCTGTTGAAGAGGCGTTGAAAACAGCAATGGCATTAAATAAATGGGCTCATTTATCCATTACAATGCCTCCATTGTTTCCAGTACAATGCATGTTGCTTGTTGATTAATTCCCAAAAGTGAGGTGGAAGATGAGTTTGAATTTTTTGCTTGAATATAGAGACGCGTGTCGGTTCTCTCTGGATTCTCATGAAAAAGTGAAGGGCGAACATGGGACTGAAACAGATTCGATTGGTGCAATATGAAATGAAAGGACCCAGAGTACCAGACAAGCAATATGGCACAGTAAAGAGTCATGTGTTTCTCATCTAAACGACAAAACACACAGGCAGCTCGGAGTTGCTGCACACATATTCGAGATGATGGATAGGCAGGAGTAAAGGTTTTAGTGCCTTGCGGATGGCATTGTGGTTTAGTGCTAGTAACGCACACTCGCACACAGTCATGTGACTGCGATAAGGTTGTGCAATTTACAACTTTTCAAAAAAGGGGAGGGAAAAAAAAATCGAGCCGCAATACAAGAGTCAATAAACAGATGCTCAGTATTGATGCTTTCGCGTGGCTTTCGGTGGTCATGGGAGGAAAGCAGCTAAGACTGGAAATCCTGATCAGTTTATCATCATATCACAGTCTTGGGTATCAAAAGTATGGTGGCTGCTGACCCCAGATCAACTCTTCTCATTCTAGATGTTTAGACACAGGAGATGACGGCGAGCCTGAGCATAAGGGTAGGAGATAGCACTGCTTGTTTCATCCAAGCTATGGATGTTTCTGTGCGGAGATTGATAAGGGAATACAGTGCAGCCCTTCTTTCTGAGGGAGTTACTTTGTTGATTTTAACTGAACCGATAAGGGTTTTTTTTTTTTCTGTGCAATGCCATCAGATTGACGTTGTTTCAGGATGTGGTAAGAATGCTGAAGGAGCTGTTCAGAGTCTGAGTCTGGTGTTTCACAACCTTTCACAAAAACTTTAACCCCTACGCTGCCAAAACTTAGGTCTAGCTGGAATGCGAGGTCCTGTTTGTTATTAAAGCGGATGTATATTATTTATAACTAAATAGGAGCCAAACCTTACATCCTGTCTTCATTTAAACATATGTGCTCCCCGTGTCTCTCCGTAAGGGGCCCCTCTTATCACGTGACCATTCTGTTTTTGTGCTGCAGTGTCGAGTGCAATCGGCCGTGAGAATGTGGTTCTACATCAACACGTAAACAGACGCAATGTCAACCGCTCTGGCTGAATATTAAGCATATGTATGTGCATGTGTGAGTCTATACAGGAAGGGAGAATTTATTTAGCAGTGTTACTGGTTTTAAACCCACAGATAGATTGCAGTGGTTGGTGACCTGGCTTTTGTTTGCTTTCCTCAGAAGGTTCCAAGGAGAGGGGGGGCATTAAGCTGGCCCCGAGAAGCAATTAGAGCCTGGGGATGATGTTTGAAATGAATGAAATTCCTGCGCAGGATAGACGGCCTGTGAGAATATGAAGCAAAAACTCCCCCTTCCCCCCACCTCTTAACTCTGCCTGTTTCGTAGAGCACTGCTAAAAGCAAATGTATACAAGGCCCCTTAAAGCACTCTGTGTAAAAAAAGGCTTAAATCATTTTATGACACTTCACCCGCTAGTAAAAAAAAAAAAAACAGCGGTTGCAGATATATTACTGCTCGACAAGCACGCTGCTTTGTTCAGCGACAACACTCAATGTCATTTGCTGGCTAAGGCATCGGGCCAATTTACCCCAGGCCTTTCCTCAAACCAGCAGCCCCCCTCTCAAAAACTCACTGCAGCTGGAGTGTGTCACAGTGGACAGTGTACTCATAAAACACTCTTCCAACAGGTAGACTCTATCTCGGGCTTTTGTGTATGCAGCAACTGGTGCACAAACACACACTCTCTCCCCAAACCTGCCCGTGTTTATGGCCTAGCACTCAGTTACTGGAATGTGCCGTCCCACACAGCAGAACGCTGCAAGAGGTCATAACTCAGAAGGAAGCTTTCAGTTTATGAAACCGGACCGAGTCCAGTGGCTTTTATCTCGGGAATTTACATGTGTGTGTGGCGTGCGTGTGTGCAGGGCTTTGTTTCTGATATGTCAGTTTATAGGAATACTGCTGGCTTCCTCATTTGCTTGGTCCCAACCGACTTTGTGACTGCAGTAGGCTTGTGCTCAGCTAAAACCTAATTTTAAAAGGTAATAACGTAATAAAGGCAGTTTTTATGCCTGTATTTGGAAGAAGGAAGTGTGAGAGTGCACTGGGCCATGGAATACCATTCAAAGCGCATCACACTACAACATCAGCTTAATCACAATGCTGTGATGACAAAGCCACTGAACTGTTTAGTGTTCGAGTTCAACTAGTGTCTTTTACTTTAAACTCACTTGGTCAGATTTTCCCCAGATTCCAGTAAGGCTACCTGCGTCCACTTTTGTGAACCTTTTTGTGATGTAGTTGGCATCTATTAACATATAGGACTCAGAAAATGACGAACATCGAAGCCCTGGGGTTGCTCACACAGCCCGTTGTTTGGACATCAGGTCCTGACCTCAGAAACCTGAGTGCTGTGACCCCAGGCAGCGAGATGAAGCTGAGATAAGAAGCAGAGCCGTATGTAAACGAACTTATGTGGATTTGCAGGGAGCACAATGAGCGGACTGTTATGGTATAGGGTCAACTCCAAACAAACCAGAACTTAGCTTGTTCTCAGACTGCTGCAAGCAAACACAAAATTACT